AATTAATTATAAAGAATCCTTCTCATGGGAAAATGCTTTTGTTTTGAATTAAAAAAAAACATAATAAGGTAAGGCTTTGAAAATTGGACACTAGAGGGGGAACTAGAGGGAACTAAAGATTAAATTAAAGGAGAAGTACACATAAACTCAACCTAGAATGAAGCAAAATATTCTAATATTGGACATATTGAAGGATACTTTTGAACAATGGACTCAGAAGTTAATTTTAATAGTATTTTTAATGTAATTACTATTTTAAAAAATAAGCTAATTTTAATAGTGACAACAGTGACATCTGCCTCTATGGAGAGAGTGTGTCTAAAAGATATTATAGAAGAGGAACAAGTTCTACCTGACAAGATCAAGACTAAGTTGAAAGTGGATTTACAAATGACAGGCTATAAAAATGACATGGAAAAAAATGTTATGCTGGAGATACAAAAGAAACAGGCTAATGTCTTAATAATTAAAAGGGACATACAAACCATAAACCAAGAGAGTAACTTGGATAATTCTCCTATATTGGTTTTACAAAAGAGGCTTGTTAAAATTTTGAAGAATCTTGTGAGAAGGGACAAAGAAAAAATTAAAAGAAATCAAGTTCTACAACATTATTTGAATGGACATGGGTATCACCACAGGAAGCATATTATAGAAGGGAAATGGTAACTAAGCAGAAATGGTTAACTTATGGTGACATTTTAGATTTTTACCAGAGAGAATTTAAAATAAAATCATGAAAAGACTTGATATCAGAAGGATACATGTGTCAATGGTTTCAACATGTACAATTAGTAGAAAGATTTAAAGTTGATAAAAGGACATATGGTTTTGAACATGATAAAACTATTTAAAATTGAGTTATGTACTAGTGACAAACATCTTATTGCTAAAATGTATAAACTTTTGCTGAGATTTGAAACAGAAGATGAACAAGTTAAAGATTGATAAAATGGGCTAAAAATTTTGGATATAATATACAAATGGAACAATGGGAAAATATGTGGATGAAAGGGTTGAAATTTACTTTATGTTATAATCTTAAAGAGAATTTTGATGGTATCTGTCACCAGAAAGATTGTCAAAGATGTACAAAGGGATTTCAAATATATGTTGCAAACCTGAACAAGAAGGGACTTTTTATCATCTTTGGGGGACATGTAATAAAGCTAAACAATTTTGGACTCAAATACATATATTAATTCAAAAGATTAATATACAATCAAAACCAAATATGTTTCTTTTGGGGCTGATGGATAAACAAATGGAAAAATCTCATGTATGTTTGCTTTTATATATGATAACTGCAGCAAGACTCAATATTACCTACAATGGAAGGATGGATGGTAAAGTTGATGGAGCTACCTGAGATGGTGAAATTGACAGCTTTGATTAGAGAAAAGACATTGACTAATTTTAATACTAATTGGAAGCCCCTTTTGGACTTTTTGGGGGAAATAGAAAAAAATGAAATTATGAAATATGGATTTGATGATTAATAAAATTAATAGTTTATAGAAAAAATGGATGTTAAGTTGTGATCCTAGAGTAAGATCTGTTTTACTTATATCTGTTGTAAAAGAAGTCAGAAGTCGTGTTGTGCGGCAGTTCTGCCCCTTCCTGGTCACCTCCGGGTTGGACTACTGTAATGCGCTCTACATGGGGCTACCCTTGAAGAGTATCCAGAAACTACAGCTGGTGCCGAATGTGGCGGCGCGGACAGTTCTTAATGCCCCTAGGAGGGCACATATAACACTGCTGTTGCGTGAG